CTGTGGACAGTGTTCAGACATTAACTGGTTTGGAGACTTCCACTGAGTTTCCTTTCTGTGTTAATGGACTGAAAATCACAGAATAGATTCTTTTTGTTCATGTTTTGTGCAGCTGTCAGTAGAGACACTGTTAAATATGTTTTGATATCAGTGAGTCCAACCAGAATGTAACTTTCCCAGCTTCCTCATAAAGAGACTGAATGAAGTGACAAGAATATAAGTTTCAAACTGTATATGGAAGAGCGTCTGTGAGTCTGTTTCAGTTTGATTTACATTCATTGTGGTTCTGCTTGATGACTCTTGTGTTGTGTTCTCTGGACCAGTTATCCTCATCGCAGTCTCTTCACCAACCCTCTGCACCTGCAGCAGGCCGTTTTCACTTCAGTCAAGTCAGTAGAGGCTACATCTCCCTGTGGACTGATGAAGAACATGGAGAAACTTTTGACTCTCTGTTCGTCATCTCTCTGCTGTTTCTGCCTTTGAAAAGTTTCTCAAAGGTCTTTGTGTTCATAAATAGATGCAGGCTGCCCTCTGCTGGCTGTCCAGGTTCACAACAACTTCATCTTCACATGAGACTGATTTTGTATTTGATCCTCAGGTCTTTTTATGATCATGTGCATCAGTTTGTTCATCCATATGCTTTAGTAGGACTCAGGGGAAGTCAGGAGTCAGGGTCCACTTGGATGCCCCTATAGTAGATAAAACATCATAATGTACCATCTGCTGTGACCCAGTTTGCAAGGAACCATTTCAGTGGAGAAAACGAAATGCAGTGCCTTACAGGCTTCCTTACATGCTAGAAAACGTTATCTGTTTGTCATGTCCTGCAATGAAGTTTTCTGTCTTCAAGTTTTAACTCATCCTATCTTTACTACTTTTGCCCGCAGAGTGGCAGACCGGGGTGGTGGTCCCCATCTTCAAAAAAGGGGACCAGATGGTGTGCCCCAACTATTGGGCTATCACACCGTTGATTGTCGAACCTCAGATTCAGGAGGAGCAATGCGGTTTCCGTCCTGGCCTTTGAACAGTGGACCAGCTCTTTACCCTTGCGAGGCTGCTGGAGGGGTCATGGGAGTTTGGCCATCCAGTCTATATGTGCTTTGTGGACTTGAAG